TTTAATAGAGGTGTAGAATCTCGTTAGTTGTAAAGCTCTTAGATACTTAGGGTAAGGTTCAAAACCAATTTTTAAAATTAAAAATAAGTAATGGTCCCATAACATTGGCTGTTACGTTTTTGTGATGGCTTGTAATTATTTTAAATGTCCCGAGTGCGCTGGCGCAGGCGCGCTTCGGGCAATCCGCGCGTGATCAAGAGACTATATTGAACTAGCACAAAATTAGCTATTGTTTTAATATTTATTTTAATTGAACTAAGATTAAAACGTTTTCGAGCAGTAAATGCTGTTTATTACATACTAGCGACTTACTCTCGTTTCATTCGGGTGCTTTTCTCAACGCCAAATAACATCCTATGTGTTACTGCAGGTCAAAGTCTATCGGTGTACTTAACTTCATTTAAATCCGTTCAGCCGTTTCCGCGTGTAGAGGTAACAAACTTACACACATATAAACTTTCGCATTTTTAATAGTAGTTCAATATATAGCAACTGAAGATATGTCTCAAGGAAATGACTTAAGATCGAGGCCACCATTCTTATTCTTACCTGTGGCCCCATTTGTCTAAATTTTATTAATTTTAATATTCTTAAAGATCCTAATAATATCCTTTTATTTACTCAATAAATAATTAAAATAACTTCGCATTAATAACTAACTAAACAAACATTCTCTACTTTTGATGCATACATGTTAATATCAACCGACAAAAAATTCCGATGTCGTCTATCGGTAATACTTTGTCTTGGTCAAACCATAACATCATAACCATAACTGCGTGGTTTATACAAGATGCAGTCAGATGCACTGCTCTATTCGCCACGACTTCGGTTACCAAAATTCCAATTATAATTTATTTTAATAAATACCTATAACTATGTCCTTATAGAAACGTAACCCTTAATTTAAGCATTATAGTAGAGCCTTTCTATAAACATTGAATAACTTTTGATGGTACTTCAGGACGCCCAAGTCTAGGTTGGAAATCTGTAATATCGAAGCAACATTTTCCTAATTATATTAATTATTATTTTAACAGCACAGTAGATAATATTTATATGAACTGTAAAGTTTATAGGCATAATAAAAAAAGTCACAATCTTTATTCAATATCGGCTTATCTTAATGCTTAAATATATCGCGTTCAATATTTATCTTTCTACTATCATTTGTCAATCTACTTTAAAAAGTCATTTTTATCAACTGCTAACTTCAGATCGGTTGTACAGTAATTTAACGTATATTTATGAGTTTATATTTTAAATTGACTGAGTGTTAATTAAGTACAATGGCATGGTTCCATAATTTAAGAGTACCAAATATCGAAGAAGACGTGAGTATTAAAGAATATTATTTGTAATTATCAATAATTAATAGTAACTTATAAAATGATACTAACATGTCAAATGAATTCCAAAATAGAATTTAAAGTGACTCAACTAGCGACAAGTCTTAATTTTTATATTTAATATTAATGGAAAAATAAATGGTTTTTTTTTATTTATTTATTTTTCACTTATATAGAGGACTATTTTCATATATAAATATTTAAATAATTTTTAATCTGCTCCACATTGAGTTTTCAGAGATAGATTTTGTAACATGTTTCTCTTATATATTTTTAACTAGCGAGTAGGTACGTTTTAACTGATAGTATAAAATAGATTACCTACAAAGGGGTTCTTGCAGAAAAATTACCATAGATAGTTTTAAGTTAGAATTAAACATTTATAATATAAGTTACAATTAACCAGAATTAACATATTTACGAGAAAATTTATAACACTAACACTAGACTTAATTTTTTAATTTTTTTAATTACTAACATAAGCATTTTGTAACAAGTAATTCTGTAAGAAATAGAGGTTTTTTTTTAATTTATTATTTATAAAATAGATAATAGGTATATAATCGATCAAGAGATAGTCGGTCGCTTGATCTGTGAAAAACAAAAACAAATCTATCCCATGGGAACCCAAATGTTTTTCGGGTATGTATGTGCTACTCCAAACTATAATCTATCTATCTATCTCTGTACCAAATTTCATCCAGATCCGTTCAGCCTTTCTGGCGTAATTGAGTAACAAACATCCATCCAATCTTTCGCATTTATAATTATATTAATTATAATTAATGGGATTATACTATATATGACCCAAGTAATAAGTTATCACTACACAAAATTTAGTTAAAATCGGTTAAGTATTTTTTGCGTGAAACGCGCACACCCAAACAAACATACAGACAAACAGACAATTTTTTTGATAAGTATTGTTTTGGTCTCTATATTCTGTACACAATACGTTACAGCCATTTTTTTTAATGTTTCATGTACAGATTTTTTTATATATATAGATAATATCACTGGATAGTTTTATACTGTTTAACATCATGTTTTTAAAATCAATTTTTCAGTGACTAACAAATAAAATAAATAGGTAATATAGGTATCTACTTAAGATTGCTATTTCTCTACAAGATATAGAAATTCAAGCCCTCTTTACTTCCATAATTTTCTTTCAATACGATACTAAAAAATTTATAATTTTAATGACATTCTGAGAACTAGTAGAATTAACTATTATTAACTAGTATGCAACAATTTCTTTTTTTTCTAATCCTTTAATTATATTTTTATGTATCTAATAGGCAACCGCCTACAATTGTAACATATAAAATATAGGTTGTATAAACCATATTTCTAAAAACACAGAAATTTTATGCGGAAAATAATGGATGAAAAGAAAATGGTACACTTGTCCCCGTCTATCCTATAGAATTCTTTTTTAAAAACATCATTAAAACTCGTCAATAGATATTTATAAAAATTAAAGAGGCCAGAATACTTTTAATTTTTAAGGTTCCGTACCTCAAAAGAAAAAAAAGAACCCTTATACGTCATAACTTCGTAGTCTGTCTGTCTGTCACGGCCCTTTTTCTCAGGAATGCGTCGAGGTGTCTACCTAAAATTAATATCAAATACTGAAGTCCCTTGAAATTGTGAAAAAATTAAACTTCTTACAAATCCAATCCAAATCCAAAAACCCTAAATTTTTAGTTTGTTCGTAATAAAAAATTTTTTTTGCGATTATAAACTTATTTTAATGTTGCTATGGAACCCTCAGTGTGCGAGTGAGCCTCTCACTTGTCCGACTTTTTGAAGTTGCAAAAGAGCAATGGGTTGAAGTGATTTTTGCATAGAGGTAATAAATTATGGACCAGTGAGTAGCATCTGCTACTTGTTATTCCTGTCCATTATGTGATTTCCGAACGGATACTTGTATAGTGTTAATAAAAATTTAAGGATTGATTATAATTAGAGCCTGAGGTTGGCGTGTGTCACTAAATATTTATATTTATAAATATGTAGGTAATATATTTTTAATTATTAATTTTATAATTAATTTTTTTACTAATCAAATAAGTGTGATCGAATAAATAGTTTTTATATTTACATACAGAGCAGACAGATTAAATACAGTTTTTTTTAATAACAACACAATATTACCATTCCATTCGCATTCCTGGTCGACTCTACATTTAAGATTTGGTATGGCTATAAGTACACAGTTACCTTAACTTAAACAGAAATCAGATTAGCAGACAAATCTATTTATCTTTAAATTAATACTATAAAAAATATATATCTATATATAAAATATTAAATGTATTTGTTTTTAAAAGTGTTAAAGATGCGAAATTATTATTTTAACAATATATTCTGTTTAAATATGTACAAGCAAAATTGTAACAAATTATGAAGTTAGTAAGTATATTCCTTTCTTGTAAAGCCTTCTTTGTTGCATTGCCTATCGTAATCCACAAGAAGTGGTCAAGCATATCGGTGAGACAGTGAACGGTCGGTCACGGCCAAGGCCGAACAGAGATTCGGATTTAATCGACCTCTTATAATATAAATAAATACACAAAATAGTCCACCTCTCACTAAACAATGCATCGGGAAATTGTGTTTAGTTAAATACCTCATTTGTGCCTATATTTTCTTATTGTTGAATGAATCAACTGAGTGCTAAGATAGATAAACGGTTCACCAAATAATAACTGCTTACGGAGACTGCGGTGAAGTTTGTGAAAGCAAAATGATGAGTACCGTTTTACGAGAGATTGTTGCTCGAGCATCAGTGGAATCCCAGCAACGGAAGGTCTGTACTATTTGCTAGTTAGCTATATTACGAGCATAAGCGTTTAAGTAAAAATCAAATTACAAAGTTATAACGTCTTACATACTCGCTACTGTGCATGCGCCTTTACCTTAGGGCATACTCGTTTATACATAAATATTAATACCTACCAATAATTCTTATCAGCAAAAATTACGTTAATGTCAAAGTAACTTCGTAAAAGTATAATAAACGGGATGTACCTAAAGATAAAAATAAGCATATCCCAAATAATCCTTAAGCAATAATAAGCATTTTAAAATAAATATAATATTATATGTTAAATAAAGCTAAATTTACCTACATAATTAAAAAAAAAACAATATTTACTTTTAACTTAGCGTTTTTCATGAACAGGAACGCACCCTTCAAAAGCAATATGATCTTGACAATTGACATTGACAATATGGGCAAACTGACAATTCGTATAGAATTAAATTTTATGCCTATTTTTTATTTTATTACAATTATCACGTTAATACAATAAGAATTTAGTTTTATAACATAATACTAAAGTAAAAACGATAAATCATCAATTTTAATGTATAAGTTTTACATTGAGGTTATAATTTCAAGGTATTTTCTTACATTTTATTTTACATAAAATTAAGTCAATGTTAATTTTGATTCGTTTAGCAACGTATTTTTCACTTGTAAATCGTGTAATATTACAAGATTCTTGCAAAACGTGTCTTAAGTTTGATCTTTACTCTTATTATACTAAGGAGTATCAACAAATCTGCCTCAGTCATGGATGTTATTATGTAAATGAACACCTAAATAAAATTTATCCATTACATAAAATTGAGAATGAAGAAATGGCAAGTAATTCAGGATTAAATGGATTATATCGGCCAAGGAGTGCTTTGGCCCGAGCTTTGTATGAAAAACAACGAAATGACAGACACCTTCAGGAATTTGATCAACATGAGGTAAGATAACTGAATATCATGATAACTTTAAGCCCAATTATTATTTCTGAAGTGTTCACCATTAAGAATTACTAATATATAGTTTCAGCTGCATTTAATTATATTTCATAAAATAATCTACTTCATGAATCCATATGATGCTGCATGGCTTACTTATTTAAGATTAATAATTAATTAGTGTCATATGGTAACCTGTGTTAAAATATTTTTATTAAGGTGCCTATACAATACAATAGTTGGTACTTAGATATTAAAATTAACATTATATTTTTTTCTATTTAAATATTGTTTTACATAAATTGAAGTTTAAATATAAACTTCAAATAAGCTTACTAATAATTATTACTTTATTATTATTAAATTAGCTACAAATATTACAGATTGTGTACTAATTATCTAGAAATTTTATACAGTTAATCTCAAAGTACAAGAACTTGCTAAGTCGGAAAGCATAATTTGGATTTTGACTTTACTTATGATCTTTACTTCTGTATATTCTGTTAAGGTGTATTATTGCATGAATAGACTGAGTGATGTGAGTAAAAAGAAACAAGTGTGTGTATCATACTACTTTTAATTTGCGACTAACTCATAAAATATATTTACAATAGATATAAGGGTGCAATTATAAAACATTAGTTAAACAACTACTGTGGTCAGTTATTAGGTGTTTTATAGAATTGGAATTTAATGAAAGTCCTTATATAAACAAAAGGTACTTAGTACTTACTATTTTTTATAAAATTGTCAGTTTTGTTTGTCCTCATCTAATGGTTCGGTAAAAATAATAAATTTTATATTACATATATCTATTCTTTCATGTTATTTTTAAATAGTTTTTATACAAAAATTAATTAAACCTCGTATTATCAAGTGAATTCTAATGGCCTATGAATGTTTAACCTCTTGTCACTGTCATACTTTGTACTAGAAATGTTAATTTAAAACTACATGGATAAGTTAATCTGTAATAGTTTAGTCTAATCTGCTAATTCTATTCAGAAATATAAAGAAAGGATACCTTAATTATTAATATACTTAAAATATGTTGGGACATTAACACATAGCACAATCTAGTTTCATGGTAAGGTACAAGGCCTGTGTTATGAACACCAGATAGTTGATACACTACATATATATATATATATATATATATAGAGAGAGATACACCCATGACTGGAGTACAAATATTCATGCTCATCACACAAATGTATGGCCCCAGCGGGACTCGAAACCGCGACCGCTGGCAGGTAGTAGAGTCACTATAAACTGAGCCAAACGTGTCGTCAAAATATATTTTTATTATCTACATATATATTAATACGTGAAGCAAGAACTTTGTATGTAATTCCCACAGTTTAAATAGAGAAGATGTGCAGAATGCAATTTTTTTTTTAATTATGCATTAAAAAACATTAAATCAATAAAAAATACACTTCTATGTATTTGACACACACACACACGCACGCACGCACGCACTCATAATAAATTTTGTTTTTTGTTAAAGTCTGTGGCCAAATTGAGAATTATGTAATTAATACTCGAAGCAAAAACTTTGTATCGATTTTTGAACCGATCTGTTTATTTTTTTCTTTAGTTTAATAGCTATTGACGAGTTTTATAATTTAAAAAAAAAACAATAATAATCATGGTCAAAGTTCGACCACTCGGCGAACTCTAGTTAATATAAATATGTTTTAATATATTTTTTAATAAAATTCTTAGTTATCAAAATTATTATTTTAAGCTATGATAGTTGTCAAATGTTGTTTTACTCAATTTTTACACTCCATCTCATTCTACATCCATTCTCCATACTAATATTATAAATGTAGTGTGTTTGTTTGTCCTTCTTTCACGTCGAAACGGAGTGACGGATTGGCGTTATTTTTTGTGTGGAGATAGTGGAGGGCTAGAGTGACATAGGCTACTTTTTACCGCGGGAAATTTTCTAATTCCCACGGGAAAACACGTTATAATACTTATATATTTTTATAATTTTTATATAATTTGTTGTAGTTTTAGCGCGAGCGAAACCGCGGGTTAGTATCTACTGAAAGTGATCATGGGAATATTAACATTATGAATTTAATTTCAGGTTTCGTGAATATTTTTATTGTTCTTAAAAAGAATTAAAATTTTGACATCTAGATTAATTTCTAAGAAAATAATTAAAATTCGAAGAAATCTATTGTTAACTGACACGCCGGCGTGTCCGCGGCCGTGGAGGAATTAAATTTAATTTATTTACTTTAGAAATAGCTTCGTTTTACAATAATGTATGCTTTGTTTTTTGTCTTTGTCTGTAGTTTTATAGATGCGATATTGAGTAAACGTAATATTCTACCTTTAAATTAAATAATTTCCCCTATAATAATTTAACCCCTCTCTTAAAAATAAAAAATACCTTTTCATTTGCATACATAATCATAAAATATTTGCATATATTTTGTATAAAAATATAGTGACAAACGTTCATTTTGAACGACGCGATTTATCAACGTCTCTTTGTAGAGATCGAACCCGCGCTCTCCGACACTAGGTAATGAAGTTCAATCGATATTTTTTTAAACAAAATGTTTACTAACAAAGCCACTATAATATCATATATCTGCTTGTAACCATCCCAAGTAGATTGATTAAAGCACTTTCGTCGTAACATCTAGATGTGGAACTTCCATCTGTAGCGTAGATACGACATGCAATCGGGACTCACGTGTGCTTCGGTAACGAGGATATATTTGCGTATGAAAAACACGAAATACCTCTGAATTGTGGAGGGAATAAGACATTCAACCCGCCCTCCTTACCCTCCTTACCGCCCGCGACCCTTTTAACTTTCATCTCTGTCGAGTGCTCGGTCCACATACTTTTGTTCTATTTGATCAATGTTATTAAAATGTCGCGGGCTTGCGGGATTACAAACATCTGAATATAGTTTAAGCCACTTCATAATAGTAGTTGACCAACACTGTATCAACTATAATAAATCTAAATGAATAAGCATGCCACAAATCAAAATTACTCATCTAAACAGAAAAATCTCAAATATTAAAGACTTAAGCCTACTAAGTGCGTAATTTTAGCTTTACAATTTATTTCGAATTAAAGTAATGATAAAACATTTTATAATTAACTTAGGGGTAATCTAAGTCAAATATGCTTATATTACTAATCTTAAAATTAAAGCCTCAACTTTTTACAACGACGGGTTAGCACCTACTGTGTACTCACAATCTCGAGCGCGTCACACGATCTTCGCCATCAACCGTAATCACTGCTATCCATTCTGTTAAAACCACCCGAGGATAAATTAGTTAAGTAGACGTTTCCGTTAATCGTCGGTCGGTCGGTGCCGGGCGACCGCTCTAAATGGTTTAATTTATACTTATGAACGAGGACGTTTTCGGTGTCATGCAAGGATGGGGTGATTGTGTTGTGATTGCTTGCGCTTCCTACGAAGGCATCCTTTACGAACCAATTCGGCCTCGCTAACAGCCTATTAGATTTCGCTCGCTAGTTTATAATGTAGTAGTGCAGCTGATCCTTATATTATATCTACGTAATTGGATGGAGTTCAGAAGAAAGGTCACTCAAATTTTGCGTCTCAATAATATATTTCGTAATTATGGAAAATGTTCTTTTACAACAGTATTGGCTAAATCAGAATTATATATTTGTTAAATTCTTCTTTTTTCTAAAATTTCATTAAATCATGAAAAATGTTTCGTATACATCTCATAATAACAGGGGATAAAGCTTTATTATTTATTCACGAACATAAAGCAGATATATTTATATCCACTCTAATAACATAATAACTTCTTACATAATGGTTCTCATAAATCAACAACTAGCGGTGGGTCATTCAGTGCATATGGTACGTACAATATACCTATTCAGTACTCATCGACGATATAAGAGGCGTGATGTCTGCACACAACTAAGACACCTGAGTCGCACTGGGCGCATCGCTCACTGCAATCTGTACATTATTTCTCCATTGTTCACGTAACGAGCCCCCCTCCCCCAAGACTCGAGCCACCCCCTCCTCTCAGTTCCCACACCCTACCCCGAGGCGGTGGGACCTCTCGCGCCTTTCTTTTATCATTCCTCTCTTTATTTCCGAATGCAAATAATCCTCCACACGTGTGAGAACCGAAACCATTGTTCTCGCTTCCACCCCCACGGGGGACCTTGGTGACGCAATCTTTTTCTTCAACATTTACATAAATGTACACTATCTAAGAACTTATTACGTTATACATATAACTTCTCTCTTGTATATACATATATCAATTATTTTTAATGTTATTCGTTTTATTTTATATGGAATACTTTCCTACAACCCATATTATGATAAGGTTATGTACCGATTGATTTCTTTTATTTTTCAAGTTATTGTGTTTTATACGCATTTAAATTCAATTTAAAATAAGTATAGGTATAATTTAATTTGATACAATGATATATGAAATCGCAATAAGAATGGTTTTCAACCATTTAAAAATAGTTAAAGAAAGACTAGTGTCAAAGTTCATCGGCGAGTGGAGGACAAACAGCTCGTTAAGCGTCGGACGGAAGGGTGGAGAGCCTCGATTCCCAAGAAAAACGCTAAGTGGGAAATCAATACGTATTAGGCGCGATATCGGGCAAGCTAGCCGTCATTCTATGATGGATGAACGTAACCAAACTTTCCGCACTGACTCTAATAATGACAATATACAAATTGACGTCCGCTGACGCTTCCGAAACGCGATAGTGCGCTCTCGCCACTCACATTATGTAAACAAACATGAAAAAAGCAGATCGCTATCAATTTTGATAATAGAAATCTCAATTACGTATATGTTTTTTGCGTCGCTCATCTATCATGTGCGTCTTCAACTATTGGTTCCATCCAATCGTCGCCTCGAATAACAGGGCCGCCTCCGTGACGTCGCCGGATACTATATTGGAATAGATCGACAGGCGGGAGTCGCACCTCTACATATTGAAAG